GCCGTGCTCAACATCTACCGCAATCGCTAGCCAGATTAGATCAGAGAGTTCCGATATTTTGGTTATCGCTAAATACACTCTTCCGATCTCTTCGACTCTGTCTTTTGATTTCTCTCGGGGGGTACAAATTATATTAGGAGTTGCTGGTAAAAGCGTTGTCAAACACTGAATACCAGTGTCATATTCACCCTATTCATCAAATGTTTGCGACCTATTTTTGTTTTACTATGAATATCGATTCACGCTTGGTAAACTGGAGTTGGCTCTCATGTTTACTCCGATTCGTTTCGTTTCTCTCCTCTTTGTTAACTTCACTGCTCTTCCCTGATTGTCCGTTCAGATCAACGACTGTATGAATGTACATATTTGAAATTCATTCTCGTATTCGACTTATTTAATTCAGTTACTCATCAACGCGATTTAAGTCAATGATTATATACGAGGGAGCGGGGATGTATATATCAATAACAATCAATCATACGATTAACCTGGAGGCAGATAAATGGCCACAAAACTGTATAGGCAGTAATCATCTCCGTGAAAGATTAGCCTAAATTATACGCAATTTTCTAGATGAGGCTTTTATGATATATCATTAGTGGTTTTCTGAAATTACTTCGAAACCAATAATTCATGTATATGTCTTTCATAAGGTATATAACATATATTTGTAGAAGGTTTCGGAATATTATCGATGAGTCGAGAAGTATATGGTCCAGGTTACTGGCTGTTGTGAGGGATGTGATGTACCAAATAATAGTTTGGTGCGGATGCATGATTAAGGGTCTTCAGTTAGGATGTGTGTGGTGTTTGAATGGACTAATGATGTCTTTGTGCTGGTTGAATGCTTGGTTTCGAATTCTAAATACAATACATTCGTTGGTGCCTGTGTCTTCTTAATTCAATTGCGTTAATCCTGGAATTCCTAATTCATACGACAATTAGTGTACGATATTGGCGTCGCGATGGAGCCTGCAATGGAAAAGTTAGATATTCATTCAACTTCGGACGTTTTTGAAGATTACTTTGAAAGGTTCGAAATCTGGGCTATGACCAAGGAAGATGATGAGGATGTTAATATTGTGGCACACTTCCTCACATTCATTGGAAAAGAAGCATACAGCTTATTAAGAACTCTGGCTATGCCGGAAAAGCCCATTTCGCTTCCTTATACAGCTCTCAAGGAACTGCTGCTAGACTGTGTTCAGTATACAAGTTTCGAATGCGGTAAAGGAGGGAGATCTCGTAAAATGATTCATGAGGATATAAAAAATTCCACTACATTACGTCATTCCAACTCAGTTCATACTCAAGATTATGCAGACAATTCATTGAGGAGATGCAATGCATTTCACGAAGATGGGCACAAGTTTAGTCACTGTTTGTCCTGTGGCAAGTTCCACTCTTTGAATTCATGTAAATTTCGTAATTCTAAGAGCTTTAAATGTGATGATATTGGACATATTCAGTCAGTCTGTAATACTAATGTTCATCTGATTGCAACTAATATTAAGTCGTGTAATTCTGATTCTATTAAGTCCAGTGTTCCTCATGATCATTTATCCTTATCAACGATTTCAAAAGACAGTGTAGAGTCATATAGCAGTTCAGAGTTAAATAAAACTCAGAATCACTGTGAGAAAAAAGTTTCTAATCAACCAACTTATCAGATTTCTTATATTATTGAGTCGAGTATTCATGGTGATCATTTATCTTTATCAACGATTTCAAAAGACAGTGCAGAGTCATATGGCAGTTCAGATTTAAATGAAATCCAGAATTCTTGTGAGACAACAGTTCCTAATCAACCGATTTATCAGAATTCTCATGCTATTGTACCAGGTATGACTTTTCCTAATGATTCCAAATTTCTAATGAAATTAATTGCAATTCTGAGGAAAATATGTTAAATGTACCTAATCATGATCGAAAACCTGATGTGGTTTGGATAGATGCTGATTTTTCTAACGATCCTACGCTCTGCAATGACAGTCCTAATGAATTTCAGAAGAATATTTCAGAAGAATCAAATCCTGATATCATATCATATATTACCTATCCTCATAATGCATTTGATCCTTGTGAAAAACCTGCTCAATGCGAAGCACGAGTACTAAGTGACCTCCAGTTTGATTACATTTCGGATGATTTCATATCAACTGCTGTTTACCCTTATCACAAAAACAGTTCTATTGTTTACTCTAAACAATGTGAGAGATATGTTTTAAATGAAGCGTTAATCCTGGAATTCCTAAGTCACACGACAATTAGAATACTATAATGTGTCTAGTAAAACAAATTAAGTTAGCATCAATATCGTAGACTTGCAGAACATGGCTACCAAGAATGTTTGCCTACGAAAAACCTGTCAGCTTTGAAGGTCTGGCTCGTCATATACCGAGATTCTCACAACACTACTCAGAGAAAGTGTGGTGCAGCGGTAAACAAATCCTAAAAACAAATAGCTTCGTAACGTAGCGACATTATTACTGAGCATATAAATTTCTCCGAAGTTGTGATCAGGCAGAGGTGTTTAGTCAAGCTTTGTATGATATCACGTTCCAATGCCTCGTGCAAAACATCACCCACACAACCAACCAGTTTTGATATTATCAGTTACATCCTCCTCTCTGATCACGATTGACGTTTGGCTTAATTGGCTTTGGAACCATTTCGTTTGTAGATATCCAAACAATATACTGTCAAACTCTTCATATCTAATACCTCATAAGTTGTAAAACAAAGCCTAGAAATTTCTAGAAATTTAGATGATTTGGCTGCCTAACTGTTCTGAACCTTATTCGGTGTTTATTAAATATTGCATCTGAGAAAGGCTCCCACATGGTATTCACATGGAGCTTGTTCAATAAGAACGGACGACCATGATACTTAAATAATAAGACAAACCCTTATCAGCTTATCTGATAACACTTTAGCCGTAAATAAACACCAAAACTAAATAGGTTTTGAAGTTTTATAAATTGTTGTTGACCTCATTCGTTGTACTGGACATACTTGACTGAGGGTCCTCGGTCATGCAACCGCATCAGATCACGAGTGGGTATGTAGTGTCAGTCATTATTTTAAGCCCATATATCTTATATTCTAGTTTTCGGACATTCCATTTCATTCATTCTACTTGAGTCATATTTTGACCTTGTCAATTATTCACTTATCAGTCTTGACTGTTTTTATATATGAGCGTATATGTGTACACTTCATATCCCATGACTCATCACGTGTTTGTAGTTTATTTTTGTCTGACTATAAATATTGAGTAACGCTCGACTAAAATGGAGTTGGCTTCCCAGCCATCTTCCATACGTGTCATTTTGCTTTGCTATGTTTCATTTGCTCCATGTACGAAATATATGTATTCTGAAGTCAATTCTCGTTATTCGACTTATTTAGTTCCGTTATTGGATAACGCGATCTAAGTCGACGATGATTATATACGAGAATAGGTGATAGCAAACATTCGTACGATTTAAATGGAGTCAGATCAAACGGGCCACTAAAGATACACCGTACCACACGTCCCTTGCAACTCCTTGCCAGTGTAGCGGTAAATAAATACCCAAAATAAATAGCTCTGTAAGTTTTCGACATTGAATGCTGACCACATTAGTTTTTATGGACTCACCTAGCTGAAGGCACTCGGTCATGCATCCGCACCAGATCACGAGTGAGAACGCCGTGCTCAACAACCCCTGCAATCGCTAGTCAGATTAGATCAGACGATCCTCGGTATATTGATAGCCCATCAAATATATCTTCGAACCTCCTCGCTTCTGTCTTTTGATTTCACCTGGTGGGTACGATCCATACTAGGTGTTACTAGTTAAAGCGTTGACAAACTTTGAATACCTGTGGCATCATCACCAGCTTAGACCAAACACTTCTCGACATCCAAATGCTCTCCAAGTATACATTCGGACCCATTTATTTGTCTTTTGATTTGACTGAGTTGGTATACTTCGTTTATAAATGTGTTCCGTGTAAAGACGTTGTCAAACTCTGAATATCTGTAACATCTTCGGCAAAGAACATGTAACTTTCACACTTCAAAAGAATGAAGTAGAAAATGATTACAGTGTATAACACTCCGCACATTCATTCATTCCACTAGCCCAGTTATACCCTTCAGCACGAATTGCAGTTAATCGGACATCCATTTAAGATAGCACGCGAATGAAGACACCCAAAAATTCGTTCAAAATTTTTCGTGGTTACAAACTGTAAATGGTGGAGGCCTGATTGTTACAAAAGACAACTCGACATTTATTTTATTCCGGTAATTATTCAGGCAAATTGCTCTGGTTGCCACCAACTAGTTATTCTTCACCTTACCAATTGATATTTTGCCCTTAAGATTTGAGAAGGACAAAAATTAAACACATCGCCCCGTAACCACTAACCTTTTATACGTCTAGACTTAGATTCTCAGTGGAGAGTTTGAGATTTCTGCTAAGTAAAGTCTTTAGTCTCAGCATGAATACAACAAGGTGTTGCTAGTATCTTATATTTTCCACTTTCATCTACTATCAAGAAATAGTCATAGGTGAGAGATTAATGTTTACGTATGTTGAAAGCATGAGAGCCTCGATGACAACCTTCATCACAAAGAATTTACCTGCTCTGAACATTTTGAGCATGTGAGCAGAAGGCTACTTGGTTCAACTTTGATTATACAAGTGGGAAAAAGCCTTCTGTTTCTGAAATTATTGAAAAGTGTGTATGTTTTTTCAACATTGAACCTATTTTGCAGCGAAAATACGGTGTGCAGGCTACATGGTTTCGGGGCGGGTTCTGGGGGTTTTTATGTTTAGTGTTGGGTTTTTGTGTGGATATTATTTTCATATTCTTCACCTAAAGTACCTTCGTAAAAAGCAAAACTTCTTTCAAAACCGTCTCAAAGACGTTGAAAACAAACTCAAGGATTACTAAGTATTCAACCTTTCAACTATAGCTTAAAACAATTGACTATTACTCATCTGCTGATGTCCTCTCAAGTTAAGGAAGATTTATATGGTGTATCATGGTCTAATCCAGCATGGAGTCACTTCCTTTGTTCAGCAAACGTTCTCGACTATTTTTGTGACCTTTCCAATCCCTTTTATGATAGGCAGTGTAATAATGAGGTTATTCGTATGCAAAGACTCCATCCTGAGCAACTGTTGTGCATGACAGGTGTTGAGTTTTACCTTCATCACGCTCAAGTAAGTCTTTTCAGTCCGAAGTTTTTTAAACTACAAACTCTTAATCAACAGCTTAGTCAATTCTTTACGTTTCGTCACCTATAACTCTAGCCCATCCAAGAACTTCCCACGTAAGGATTCCAGTTTACCTATCTAACAGCAAAGGTGTGGCTTAGCTTATCATCACACAACGCTCTATATGAGTGTTAAGGTGTGAAAATAAGTTTTAATATCTAACCTGTAAAGCGGAAGTGAAAACTAAGCATGATTAGTCTTTCGAGAGCTATCATAACATCTTTTGTTTTAAACCGAGAATCTCTGTTGCCTGTAGACCAGATTTTAAAAGCGGACTTGCTGGGTATCACAACCCAAGTTTCGTTTCAAGATGGTAGTTGGAGATATTCAACAGGGAACCCTGGACCCGGGTTTCGTGATACTTGGCACTCGTCAGCGAGGTGTACCTGTAATCTTGAGGGAACTGATGCCCCCCCGACGGACTCGATCCCGTGTCATGCAGTCAGAGACGTTACCACTGAGCTATCCGGGCCACTACCAACCTCCTGCAGGACTGAGATGTAATCACAATTGCTTGATCACTGGGTGGTAATCAATGTCATGTGTATTAAGTCCTTAGTGCAGATCGAATGCTATCGACCAAGTTGCAATATGGCCACCAGTCTAGATGACTGAACATTGTGTTGAGATAAGATGGTAGTTGGAGGTCGATAGCATTCGATCTGATTAGTTTGTCCATAAACCAGTCTCACCCACAAAATAAATGTGACTGAATACTTAGTTTAAAAATGTATATATAGTTAGTCAGCTCCGTAACCTTTAAAATTGGTAACTAATTTGTAAAATCGAATAGTCACACAAGCTCTGTGTCTTGTTGCTCTAAGTTTTGGTTGTTCTCACTACATATGTGGGGCTGTTACTTAGCCATCCAAGCTTTGAATTCATCCATTGGATATTGGGTTCAGGTGTTGCCGTAGTGGAGTATTATACTAAACTTTCAAATTGCGCTTCAGCTTAGTACATCGACTTGCGCATAGGTCGCATCGCATTAATTATTTACAAACAAGTAGTCCTCCTTTTTTACATGTATTGGTAGAAGTGGGCTTATAATAAGCAGTGGTAAAACCAGCATATAGCACTAACTGAGGCCTTTAACTATGGGTGTTATCCATATGGAAGAATTCGAACTTCCTGGTTAAGGTTAGCGAAACGACTGAAATGTGTTTCAGAACTTAAAATTACCAGTCATGGGTGCATTCTTCTTAACCTTACTACACATTATAGATATTTTATCATTCTACAGTCGGCTCAGTCACAACGTCAAGTTCGGTCTGGGCATCCAATAAATTTATTTTGCTTTCTAAGCATATACGAATCATTCTAATGCCTGTCTGTCCTTGTGTATTGAATTAATACCAGTTCCTTATGTGCCTTTCCCGTGAATTATGTTAACTTTTATCATTCAGTCACACGCAACGTAGAAACTGACACGTGTATGCATCAGTTCGAGTCGCCGCATCGTATTAACACAGAAAGATAAAATTATCAAGAGTAATGCTAAAGTAGTAGCAGTAGTAACCGTATCAGTGGTATTATAAGAGATTTCACACCAATGATATAATTCGAGAACAAACTATCCACAGAATAAAGAGTAAGAGTTAACTTTAAAACGTAAAACTTAAGGAAACACAAAAAGTAGACACATCTGAGCCATTGCCACTTATTTTGAATCATGTCACCAATAATCGGAAAAGATAATGCCGTTGACTCTAAACAGGTAGTCTGCACCTACCTAGACGACTCAATCCAACCGTTAATGGATTCATGGATGGATGTCACGTTTTTGGTTTAGCTGATCCACTTTTTCCTTTAGCCTCCTACAACAGTAAACAACTGTTTAGGTATGTATGTCCCAACAACCTCATTTTATTAAGGCTTATTACGTCACCAACCAGTTTGCTATCTTTACCTAGTACCATTAATCTAAACTCAACTATGCCCACTCGGTGGTCTCAAAATGAGCGAGCGGTACTACAAAGGCATCTATGATTGAACATGCCCCGACCACCTTGATTGATGAAGATTTACTACGTCGTCAATCGATTTACCATCCTTACTCAGTACCCTATTCCTAACCCAGGCAGTGCTTCGAAGAAAACTGTGATCGAATAACAGTAACCTACGAATATTCTCTATTCCTAATGGCCATGTGTCACATCCATAAATTAGAACGGAGCGAACTGCTGTGTAGTAAACGCGTCCTTTGATTGAAATATGGATATCTCACCTACACCACAAGTAACGCAAGTTGGCAAAATCCGATTGGGCCTTCTGAACCCGTGTAGAGATTTCGTCAGACATCAGGACTGATGAGGATCCCAAGGTGAATAGAGTGGTTGATACTCTCTACTACTTAATTCTCCATCACTAACTCAGGCGCTGACGCAAGCCCATCCTAAAGAAACATTTTGCAATTACAATGTGAGAATCCCATCCCAAACATGTTTGCATTGTTGCATAAAGTGGTCAGAAGATTGCATTTGTCAGCGTCCTCACCAAACAGATTTATGACATTTGAGTATTCTAAGCAAACAAGTGGATCTTCTGGTAGAAGATCAACCGCTGAAAGGTTAGAAGAGGAAAGTGTTATCTCTAAAAGCATGTCTATAACAAAGTCAAATGAAAATGGGGAAAGCGGACAACGCTGACAAGTACCAATTGAAGCAATTAATTCCGATGACAGTTCGCAATATGCTTTATATCAACCAATGCTTTTTCAGTAAAAAGCTTTTAGTTGCTCGATATCTGATCTATACATCCACGTCCATGCATGAAATACACCTGGTTTTCTTGGGTTTGCTCTTTACAAACTCTGGTTTGGCGTCGAATTATCAATGAGGCTAATATTTTAGATATCATATTAGTCTGTGATTGTCACAAGAATATTTTTGTCCTTTTCATAAATTTGAGCAATCATGACCTGTCAGACTGGATTTCTTCCAAATTCTAGTTAAGACTTAAACATACAAACTCAAGTGGAGGTGAGCGTGCTGTAAAGTGTGATCGATAAACGAACTCACCAATGATAAAGTGAAACACCCACCACCACACTAACTTTCTTTGACCTTGTATGACTATGTCTTTCTTATTCACCAATCACAATTTTTATGTTCATTATAAAACAATATTCGCCTTGTTGACTCATTTTCCCTGTCCTCTAGTTACTGTTCGGTATGTTATTTATGTCTTCGTTCTTCCCTGTTTTAATAGAATGTACTGCTTATTTTGTACACTAACGGTGTTAATTTATGTCTTAGAAACAGATAAAGTTTATCAAGCCAAATAACTTACTTGTTCTGACTGGCTAAACCAAGACTCTGTGCTCGACAGTCTAGAGAATAGCTTAGAGTTACACCTGTAGGAAATTGCTTCCTACACGTGCTATAGATCTATTGTCGAAAGATTTATTTAGTTTTGTAAATACACTTAGACGTCAATCATGTTATTATTTTCTATCGTAGACTGGATTCTGTGTAGCTCAAATGTTCAATTCTATGCGCTAGTTGTGTCAAAATCTTTTACTAGGAAAAGCAATGAAGCTTTTCGAAAGATTTTGTATTAGAGAGTCTTATTAAATATCATTGGGTGCTTAATTAGAGTAGTGAATCTCGTCCGTAAAAAAGAAATTTTTTTATTTAAAAACCAAGATCTACGTTAGAAGAAGTGAAAGTAAAAAGGATTATTAATTTTGTTTCATTTTTTATAGGAACCCATACTGTTCATAATACGAAAGCAGCAACGTTTATCTCCAACTCAAGTCACTCCATTGGCTTATTACTATGTGATTAATGGGACAGTACTTCAAGCGCCAGATCTTTCTACTCTCCTGAACTCTCGTTTGTTGACAGCGATTGTAGGGTTGAAGAAAGTAATCCAGGTATTATTTTGGTTTTGGCATCATTATTCTTATTCTCATGGTTTGAATTTCAATTTGGAAACATTGTCTGTTTTGTGTGTATAACATGTTAAATAGATCGTGAATTTGACAAAACTTCCAACAGAATAATCAGGTTTTCTTTAATGTTGTCAATGTTTAATTGTTTTTGTATTTCTACTGAAGCCTGCACTCGATAAGTTACAAGTAAATATCACAGCGTAAGATGTTTTCGTCTGTCACCCAACAATTCCTGTGATGTTTAACAGCTTTTGCATAAAAGACTGTGGCATAATTATTGGTCCATTCTTCCATGTGGCTCTTTATTTGGTTGAAGATAGTTTTCGAGCCTTGTCTACATGGCCTCAGCGTCGTTTATGTGTATTCTAATATAGGGATTCACAAGGTACCGTTTGTATACACGACAGGTGTATCCAAATCATGGTAAGCATTTAAAAGTCTTCTAATCATGTGTTCTCGTTGCCGTCACTTGAATCGATGTATTTCTTAATTATGGGTATTACAATTGATGCCACCCCATCTGAGTCATCTCTTCTTTTTTGACCTTCGGTTTAGTGCATGAACTTAGTTTCCAAAGAAACATGGTTTCGCATCTTGAAAAAATCGAATTAAAAAGATTTATGTAATCTCATTATAGTAATCTTACTTGAGAGAAAAATCTGATTTGAAAAATACAAAAAGCTTTATACTGATATAATTCACTCATTAGTAATCATTAAACTTGTGCTTTTGTAGACATTAGGTCCTTGTGCTCGGTATCATCCTTCAGACGGTTCCTATTCATGGGATGACCCTAATGTTTTGCTTGGATATAATAAAGAACCAGATCAAGCTTATACAAAATCTCAGTCTACCTCAAATACTGAAAGAGATCTATATAAAAGTGCAAATTTATTTCAAGTTCAAAGAACAGATACCCTACTTGCTGATTGGATGAATCGTTTTCCTGTCCCATCGGCAAGTTTTATTCAAAATCTGGCCAACTCAGGACAAACATCATCTGTACCGACAGTTACTTCTGCAGTTAACGCGAGTGGAGTCGTTTCTCTTACATCAGCTCAAACCGTAAGATATTTCCAAGAATCTATTCACACAACTAATGTAATCATTTAATCTGTATTTATTCACGTTATCAAAACCATTGAAGATTTAAGTCAGACTTTACTGAAAAATTATTAATAATCATAGTCTAAATCATGAAGTGATCTCAAAAAACCCACCATAACCAGAAAGTACGGACAACTACTTTACTCTTTCGGTAGAAAGCAGAAACTTGGATTATAATTCTTGTTTGGTGATCACAATATTTCTAGTTTATTTTGTTTAATTTACACGCACTTTTACTAGTAAGCGCCGTAGATATTTACAGTTTTACATTCTTGATGTGTAACACACCATTCGTTTTTATTTGAAGTAAGCATAGCTAAAAGATCGACATAGACAAATAAAATCAAAAAATTGAAATTAGCTAGGGAAAATAAAACTTAAATTATCGGTTTGGAACGTAAACATACATACCGACACCCAACAGGTTTTTCGAAAAAAATCATTGAAAGCAGTAAACAAACCGCTTGAAAGCTCTTTGACTCAATTAGTCGAACCAGAGCTCATTGCAAACTGTCATCGGAATTAATTGCTTCAATTGGTACTTGTCAGCGTTGTCCGCTTTCCCCATTTTCATTTGACTTTGTTATAGACATGCTTTTAGAGATAACACTTTCCTCTTCTAACCTTTCAGCGGTTGATCTTCTACCAGAAGATCCACTTGTTTGCTTAGAATACTCAAATGTCATAAATCTGTTTGGTGAGGACGCTGACAAATGCAATCTTCTGACCACTTTATGCAACAATGCAAACATGTTTGGGATGGGATTCTCACATTGTAATTGCAAAATGTTTCTTTAGGATGGGCTTGCGTCAGCGCCTGAGTTAGTGATGGAGAATTAAGTAGTAGAGAGTATCAACCACTCTATTCACCTTGGGATCCTCATCAGTCCTGATGTCTGACGAAATCTCTACACGGGTTCAGAAGGCCCAATCGGATTTTGCCAACTTGCGTTACTTGTGGTGTAGGTGAGATATCCATATTTCAATCAAAGGACGCGTTTACTACACAGCAGTTCGCTCCGTTCTAATTTATGGATGTGACACATGGCCATTAGGAATAGAGAATATTCGTAGGTTACTGTTATTCGATCACAGTTTTCTTCGAAGCACTGCCTGGGTTAGGAATAGGGTACTGAGTAAGGATGGTAAATCGATTGACGACGTAGTAAATCTTCATCAATCGAGGTGGTCGGGGCATCTTACGCATGCCAAACCACCGTGTTCCTTGACGAGCGGTGTTTTTTGGTGTTGGAGTAGACTGGATCAGAGCTAGGGGTTGTCAAATCAAGAATGTCATCAGTCCATGAAGTCATTCGTAATAGGGCTGAAACATGTTAGTGGGTTTAGGCCAAATTTTCATATACTGCGTGATCATGGTAACGAGTTTTTAAAGGCTGAATGAAATGGTTCAATATTTTTTACAGTTGGGCTGGTAGATTCAGTGTTTTTTTCTCCCAAATTTTGAGCTTCTAGATCCCATACTTTTTGCATCAGTCATTCAGATTTATTTAATCGTATCTTTGATATCCAGTCTTTTCTAATTGTGCCGATCCTGATAATGCTTCTTCTGTTCTGGGACTTGCCATAACGGTGTTGTCTCGCTGTGGTCTTGGCTTATGGTAACTTTCAGTGATGTATGTTTTGTGCTACGTTTTTTTTATTTTGGTTGACTGAGCAATGATTGTGTTGTTTAACAGAATGAATATCCTTTCACTAAGTCAGGTCGATTAACAGTTACTTCATGACTTTTAGAATCACCCAATTCATGTCTTTTGGAAATATTCTGTTTTTTTACTTTTCCAGGCATCTTCTGGGAAAGAAGAAAATCTTCAGAACAACTGCAATTCTCCAGCTAAGTTACCTACACGGCTGCCTACATTACCCGGTGTTTCTGTTGTCCCAGGACCATCACCAAGCACTTCAACGCAGCCATCACTGCTTGTAGACCGAAAACCTCGTGTTTAGCATATTTTTAGTTTCTTCAATTGATACTGTTAAAAGCTGTACAAAAATATGGTTTGGTATAGCACCATTTTATATTTCGATAAGTTTATTTAGCGATCCAATCATGATGTACTCTGATGTCATTTTTACTTAGTAATGTATTTATAAAATTATTACTCTTTTTGTTTATGTAAATATAAATTTTTTCTACTAAAAATTCACTTTTATTCACGGCTTTCCTATAAATTGGAGCGTATAATTAACGTATGGACCATTTTGTTTTCGAACAATGATTTTCTTACGTTACGATAATGCAATGAGAAGAAGAAGTTTATCAGAATTATGTAGTACATTTGCGCAATGCATTCCGAACAATCTGATCACATATATACTTGTTAAGATATTTTTATATGAAAATTAAAAGGTCAACCAGATGGGTTAAAGGTAAGCCGTAACAAAGAAAAATAATAATAAAGTACACAAAAACAATGTGATGACCACCTCTCTTACGTTACTAAAATTTCTGTCTTTAACAACTTGTTTAGCTTCATGAATAATAAAATTGTAAGTCTGTAATCATTTGCTAACATATTCATCTATCTACTTTTAATAGGTTTTAACATTCATTTACTCAGACTTGTGAAAGTTCTGATTTTTATTTGTGCTACTTATTTTTAGTAAGTAGTAAGACTGTAATAATTGTTTTTCCATGTTACACAAAAATTCTTAACTGTCTTGTTGATACCCATAATTATGAATCAATCCCTATCTGTGACTACCCTCAATCATAATACTATCAAACAGTAAATTCTGCGTAGTGAATTTACGTTTCTCAATCGTTTCGTTTAGTTTTGGTAGATATCGTTACATTTGGATCTTTTTTATGTTAACAATTTTTCACGCCTTATTTGAATTTATTTTCTATGATCATGATTTGATTTTGGTGTGTCGGGTGTTTTAAAGTAACGTCTTGTCAGTGGTTATAAGTTTTTTTCATCGGTGATTATTCCAATGCATATCTTGGTTTGATTTGCAGATTACAATCAGGATTTTACACAGTATATTACTAGTTGATGCATGCAAGAGTTGTGTTTACAAGAATATATATTGCATAATAATTGCGATGAACCTCCTAAATATATATCACTAAACTATCAGTTGCATCCCTCCTCAATTAATTTGCAGTTCGAATCCAACTTCAATTTGTTTTAAACATATGGACATCAATCGCTTTGAAAATTCACTATGGTGCGCTGTGAAACGATATTAATATTTCTATAACGAGATAAATGAGGGGTCGTTAATATATCTTAGTAAGGTATTTGCTCAGTAGCCCCATATACTTACAGAAGTTAAACATGTTGGTCCAGCGAGTCGTAGTTTGGTCTTATTGTTTTCCAGTCTCACTAATTTGTTGGCAGAGTGGGGTTGTTGCTTAACCTGAACAACTACATCTCTTAGTGCTTTGGCCTACTTTATTTGACAAATATCCCCTCTTAAGGAATGTATCAACTGCTCTTGACATTTAATAGGTTGAAGAAAAACTGATAGGAACAAGCTATACTTCATTAATATGGTTCGATGATTAAAGATATCGTGAAATCTTTCAAACTAAGTGGCTTTGTCAAGATTTTATTTAAGGTAGTAAATTCGATCTGCAGTTTGGTTTTGTATAAAACTCAGATGAACTAAACAAAGACTAATGTTTGATTGGTCGTTAATTCGTAACTAACATAATATGTAATCGTTTGTGCTGGTATGGCCTTGTTTCTCAACTTACGATGTGATAACTAAGCTCAGTGACTTGACGTTATGGTACAATTTGTTATACAGCTGTTGGCAATAATCGCTTTCGTGCTTATTAATATTCATCACTATAGTATATTTAAAATGTTGATGTTCCCCGTCAGATTCAATATTCAAGAACAAAGTGCACCAAGAAGTCCATCCACTTATTTTAATACTTGTATTTCAAATTGATCATTATTAAGATTAAAACTTCATGGTGTTGATTACTACTCAGTAACCAGTTATTATAGACATCTCATATTATCATTGAGCCAAGCAGTCGAAATACTGTAATCTTCACTTGAGACTTAAATAAAGTTATAATATAGCCAGATTGATCTTTAACTGTAAGAAATTAGCTTATTTTCCATGTGATTGGCTATACTACAAATCTCCGAAATCTCTTAAAAAGACAATCAGCAACTCGCATACCGTCATCATAATTATTAACTGAATGATTTTCAGGACGATTTGAAGTCCATTTTTAATCATAATAAATTGTCATCGTTTTTATTGCTTTGCTTACCAAATATCATTGTATTATAATTCAACTTCGAGTTCACTCAATTTCTCTTCCATTACTTTGTGTTTAGTTTTCTTCATAATTATGACTAAATCAACTTTTTTTTAAAAGATTGCATAATCAATCATCACTGTTTTCGCCTGCTGCCATATTAAAAATCCTATTGGTCAGTGGATATTCCATCTTATTATTTATCTAATATTTTAAATAAATGTGGTTAAATAAATCAAAAAAAAAGAAGAAAACTTATAAAGTTCACTTATGAAATGTGATTAGTTGACCTTAGATAACAAACTCTCATCACCTTCATTTAGACAGATTGTTTGTGATTTCTTTTGCCAGAAATACTTAAGATATCGAAAGTTTATTGATTTGAATGGAAGGAAAAAATTAAAAGCAGAACAATATAAAAACTAATAAAAAAAGAAGTAGGCTGAGTAGAAAAACACACAGTTTTAAGCTGATCATCATTGCCCAGAAGTTTATCATTCTTTAATCTAACATTATATATATATATATATGTAATACTATTATTCCATCTGTTCTCTAAAATCAGAGTTATTCATTCATTTTTATATGTATACTATACTAACTTACATGACAGTTAACACTTGTAGATTTTGTATAAACAATGTACATGTGTCACGATAGGACCAAAATTACTTCATAAGATGAAGTGAAAATAAGCAAGAATAACAGTAAAATTATTAATCAGATATAATGAACAGATGTAACACACAGAATTCACAAAATCTTTAACAATCAGTATGAAAGAGAGAAGAGTATTTTGATATTGTAATTCGATAAGAATATATGAGTTTGAAATGAATTAGGATAAAATAATAATTTCTTGTTGAAACAAATTACTATTAGTTTGTAAAATAAACATCGAAATTAGTGATGATGTAAAATATCCAACTTCATTTATTGTTTTGTAAATCTGGTTTCTTAAGTTGTGAAAATATTCAAGTTTCTATATGAGATCTAACTCATAACTTTCAAATCTATAAAAACAAGATACTTGAGAGATTCAATAGTTCACCGACACTATTCAGTAGTTGTGATACTATGAAAAATCCTACTGTTTGATACTAAATTCTTTTCGATTATTCTTAAAATAATAGTAATTGGTAAAATTAAATTTTGGCTAACGAGCCTTTCGACCTATTATTCTTCAGCTACATTGGTTCATATCCCATTACTAGTGTTCGCATTGCGACTGGTACCTTTCATTCTAAATGCCAACCCATGATCCAATTAGATACTGAGTCCAAAGTAGCCATCAATTTGTTTAACGGATATGAAGGTAGAAGTAAAAATTTTTCATTGTTAATATTCAAGGTTATATTGTTTATCTAAACCCAGTAGATTAGTGAATGATGCATTGGTGTTTTAAACAAGAAATATCATGTTCAGATCTCTGTGTGAACATCAACAGTGGGATTTGGGTACATTCAAGTGACAAGACACGAGTCTTGAATTTCATTCTTTGCAAAATACCAAATCTACCAAAACTTATCACTAAAAACTTTGTCGAAGCATTATGTTTAAGATGCATATTTACTAATCATTCAAAATCATGATTATCAACAACAGGAAATTGTAAATCCTTGTTAATGATATTAAGTTTGAGTGGAAAATTATTTTTCTAACTGCAGTAACTCTTCAAAAATAAACACATTATTGATAACAGGCGTAAGTAAGTAAGTATAGTTTTCATTATACGATTAGTTGAAATGAAAACAATCAATTGAGTACAAGCAAATGTCAATGTCACTTTATATGCTGATTTGTGAATTTATTTATTTTTATAATAGAATAATGATTATCTATTAATGAATTGAATTAATAAAAAGGAATACAATAAGAGTATAAATAAATTCAAAGATTTTAGTCATCAATCTTAATTATTTAATAATGGAAGTTAGTTTACTATTTCCTGAAGATGTGTTAATAAGTTTGTCAGAGAAAGGATAAAAATTTTGAATATAATCTCTATTATATATTGATAGTTTGTCGAATGTTTCCATCTATGGGTAATCATTGAAAGTCGATACTTTTCGTATGTCAATTTTTATTGTTATATAAATTCAATGCTTTCATTCTGTTTATTTATTATAGTTTTTGATTGAGATCATAAACCGATTGATGTTAGACCACCTTTAGAAACCTATTGTGAGACTCCTCAGCAGCGAGCATCCACGATCTGGCTCGCGGGATTCGAACCCAGGGCCTTCGGTCCCGCGCGCGAACGCTTAACCTACTGGACCACTGAGCCGGCATCCAGTGGTGATAGTTTCTAACATCAACCAATCCACGACATTGTGCGACTAACTTCTATTGTAGTGAGGTAGATACCTGTCTCTACCCGACATGGATTAGTATCGTTTATCTACAATTTCATTGCATATTTTCTTCCAGGAAAAAATAAATTGTATTTAAAATGAATAAAATATTTAACCGTAATTATAATCTAACAAATAGAAGAATCAATGTGTTGTAATAATTTTCACAAGTTTTGTTTTTACTAATCATTTGAATGGATCAAAATTACCAATTTTGTGTTTGTTTTATTTTTGGCATCTACTCAACCTTTTTGTCTTCTCTCTTTTCACATGATGTTATTATTATTGTTTGGTTGTGTTGTTTCTTCTCTCTGATTTAAATGTTTCGCTTCCTTTATGTCAACACGCAATTCAGGTTGCATTGT